TGCTTTCTGAAGGAAAAACTATGGTGCGGTAATGGAGGAAGCTAATCCAGCTTGGGGACAAAGGGAGCCTTTCTAAGAGCTTGGCATTAATAGAAGAACATGAAGGAAGAATAGGAATTAGCTGAAGTATAGGGAATGGCATTTGTGAAGCCCCCAAGTGTGGTCCCTGCATTCGGAGGCCTTACCACAGGCTCCCCCTGTTCTATCTGCAGGGTTGACAGGTATCTTGGGAGAGCTGTCACTAGACATATGATCCTGTGCTAAAGGTTCCAAAGACATAATTGACCCCCTATACCTTGAAACCATTCCAATATAACCAGAATGTAGCAAAGGCTTACATAATAAGCAATCCAAACTCAATGTGTGATGCAACTGTACCCATCAGTTGGTTCTGTCCTGACATAAATCACTATTCCCTAGTCCTGGGAACTTGGAGTTCTCTTAGGCTATGGAAAGAGGTTTGTTGTTGTTGTTTCCCTGTTCTGGCTTGGGGACTCCTGATAGCATCACATGTCTAATAATTTCCCATAGAGCTTACTGGCAAGGCCAAGATGCATGACCCACGTGTGTCTGCATTTGTAATTCCTGCAGTGGCAAAGCCGGCACTGCAGTGGGAGCCCAGTTGCAAGGCAGGAGCTCGGCCTGGTTCCATGGGGGCGTTAAGGAGGTGGTCTGATGTCTGGGCACAGAGGCAGTGCAACCTAGGGAAGACTGAGAGAAGTCATTTAGGACCCCACCTACCCAACTGTCAAATGAAAGCCACAGCCTTTCCTTCTGAAGGCAGGTGAGGAGTAGGGGATCACTCTGCCCACTATGGGACAAAAGAGAACATGTAGGGAAAATGGCTTGGGAATTTTACCAGGTCCTTCATTTGCTTTGAAAAGGTCCTACAGTCAACAACAAACCCTGTACCCTCCTTCTCTCAGGCAGAGAGCTTCTGTGTGTATAATGATGCTTCATTCATCTTTCTGCCCCAAGCAACTCTCTTTGTGTCTGAACCCTGGACACAGGGTCCTCTTAAAGGCCTATGGAGTGACACTCTGGACACATGTATGTTTTACACATAAATATGGATAAAGAGGGTACAAGGTGAGCATTCCAGGCCCTCTGAAATAATGCATGTAACACTGGTCAACAAAGGCAGCCAGCCATACTTTGGTTTACTTTTACCATGAATGCATGACTGCAGGGAAAAAAGGAGTGTGGGAGCTGAGTGCGCATGGAACACTGTCTGTGAAGAGTGGGTGTCCCAGGAAGAAGCCAGGGCTCACCACACCCAGCAGAGCTGCCAGGCACTTTTGTGGAGCTGAAGGGAAACTAGATGGCTTGGTGACTTCCCTGACTGCCACAAACAGAGGCAGGGATATTCAATTCACACCACAAGGGCAAACTAATTTCAATTGTCTGGAAAAATGACAGTCAATTTTAAGGTACTTACTCCTGCTCCATCAAAAATTTCCCTTTTGTATTTTTATCATAGATGGCATTCTTGCCTGTGAGACACTTGAGTTACAGATAGGGTGACCAACTATTCCACCTTGGGGCTGTAATGGTTTTCCACACTGAAAGTTCTATATCCTAGAGACCCCTGCCCCGCAGTTGGGCCTGAGTTGAAGGAGGAGGTAGCCTTGCTGGGGGGAAGAGGAAGAGCTACACTGTACAGTGCACCCCCCAACTCTGGCCCCAAGAAAGCCTGACCAAGGGAGGCTCTCTTCCAGTCATGCCTGGGTAGGAGCCTCCCCTGAGTGCCTCGGAGAAGCAGGGAATCTACATACCGTGACTTTTGGGGGACTGCTTAGTTCATACTGTAAAACCTCTATACGGATGGCATTTTTCTCAAGGTTAACATAGCTTTAAAAACCAAAAAGGTGAAAGGAAGCTAGTGAAATAATAAGAGGGAAAGTCGAAATGTTTTGATGTTCCAGGGCCATACAATACACCCCAGGGCATTTGCTGCAAAGACAACACAAACCTCTGAGGGGCTGTCTAACTAAATGACAGGACAAGCCATTTACTAAATTGTAAAGGCCTCCTGAGGGCCTAGTCTACTCAACACAGAGTTGCAAAGAGGCGCAAGCCCCCAGAAACAAAGGTAGATATGTGCCTCTAAGAGTCCACTCAATTGGTTCCAGGTGAGGCTGATCTGGCCAGGATAGGGCTGGGGGTGAGGCTGTGCATCTTCCAGGGAGGCTGAAAGGGGCTGTTTAGTGGGTGAACCATGCAACTCGAAGCCTCCTAAGTCACATTCTCCAGCAGGTTTTATGTGGGTCTGCATGATACAGCAGGTTGGAGAAGGTCTTTGGTAGTTTGGGTATAGTAGTGTCAGAGTGGCAGGAACCTGTTCAGTGTCACACCACTGTCACTCAGGGCCAAACTTTCAGCCCAAGAGCATTCTGTAAACTTGGGGCATCAAATGCTCAGAAATGCCAAATGCATATTTATTGATCAGAGCTTTCCAGGGTAGATAAGGTGACCCATGAAACTTAGGCAAATCCAAGAAATAATCGAATCTTGGTCTTCTGGATGCCATTTAAGCAGCTGACAGAAAGCTGAGACTGTTAGAAACCACAGCCTGATCTTCTACTCTGGCCAGGATTCCAGCTGTGGCAACCTTTCTTCTGAGCATGTCCAGGGCTCATGCTGCCCACTATCTCCTCCTCCCTGAGTGGCTGGCTGGTCTCATCTGGTCTGAGCCCCTCTCATCCTCTGTCTACTCATTTCTGCCTCCTTTCTTTTCTACAGCACAACTTCCTTTCTTCTTCCAGACTATTCCCTAACTTACTTTATTTTTTTCTTTCTGAACAACAGACGAAAGCATTCTCAGAGAAAGCAAGCCCTAGGGTTAAATTTAGCCCACCACTTACTAGCTGTATGACTTACAGCCTCTCTGGGCCCAGCATCCTCATCACCCCGGCAGGATGGAGAAAGTGGTACCTATTTTGAAAAGCCAATGTGATGATATATGTAGGCAGAGAGAACAGTGTGTTGTCACAGCCTTCGTATCAGTTGTTGTTCCTTATCTATGGGGGATACATTCCAAATTCCCACAAGATACTGGATCTGTAGAAAGCCCTGAAACTTACATACATACTTTTTTCCCTAGACATAGGTACCTATGATAAAGTTTAGTTTATACAGTAGGCACAGTAAGATTAACAACTATACCTAATAATAAAACAGAACAATTATAACAATATACTATAAGAAAACTTATTTAAAACTCATGAATTGTTGACTTTTGGAATTCCCCTTATAATATTTTCAGACTCTGGTTGACCATGGACAATTGAGACTGCAAAACCTCAGAGAAGGGAGAGCCACTGCAGATCCACTCAGTGCTATTCAAAGTTGCAAAGTCCTAAGTGACATAACTACCTCAAACCTTAATGGAAAGTCACTTGGTAAAACATTTAAGAAAAGGCACACTTGTAGTCTTAAACTTCTGACAAAGTTGATTCAGGATGCAGATGTATGCATGAGCACTTCACTTTGGGAAGCATGATTTAAGAGACGCAGAAGCCATCTTTGGGGTCAGACAGACACTGGCTGGTTGCAATGGCATTACTTGCTTTGCAGTTCTCCAAAGAGGCTCCCAGCTATTGGCACTGGTGCTCTGTCACTGTGAAGTGCCTGGAGTGCAGGAGGGCCTCAGGGCTGCACTCATCAGAGCTTATATGGCCTAGCCATTCACTACAACTTCTTTACTTTTCCCTCATCCTGTAAGTCCATGTTTATCAATACATAAATTTCATAAAAATGGGAAAGAATAGAGAAATCCAAAAAGCCCTGAATAATTTGTAACTGTTCCTCCCCCAAGAAGAAAGCATGAAACTTATTGCTTTCAATAGGGACAATCTTTCTGCAGCATCCTGAGGTGGGTTTGTGTTTTCATGAAGACAGGCTCACATGGTTGGCAGGTGTTGTCTAGGGCAGACCACACCTACACAGAGGCCTCCCACTCAAACCAGAAAGAGTTCTGAGGGGCTGACCTGAGAGCTGGGAAAAATGGCCCTGGGGAAGCTTGAAAAGCCACAGAGAGGGGGCATTCAAGTGGCAAGGTAAAAGAACTGGGGACCTCTGGGTGTCCATGGAGCTTTGTTGAGGGAAGGATAGCCTTTCATAACCACACTGTCCAGGGTCCTTTCTCTCCTTTGTCCCCTTAGGGTCCTAAGTGGGAGACCTTGTTAGTAGCAATAGAAGTTCTATGTGAAAGCGGCCCAGCCACTGACTTGTAGGTTACCTGCTATCTGCAGAGCATACAACCTGGTGACCAGTACATTCTGTGTTTGTCCTGTGTGACCAAAGCTAAGTGACTTGACTCCTCTGAGCCCTGTTCATTTACTATATGAAATGAGGATCATCATTAGTACTGACCTCTTCAGTGAAAAGATAAGCCTAGGATGAGGACATAATCTCTCAGAAAACACAACCCAATTTGAGGAGTATGACTCCTCAAATCCAGCAGGAATGCACTGAAAGAGAGGCTCAGCGCATTTACAGAATTGTTCTGGAGTTGAAACAGAGCTCCAAAGCCACATGGCCCCAGCATCCCTTATTTCAGAAATATTACTGCAGGGCCCACAAATTCCACTGGGACCAGGTGGGCAACAGATGTGCAGACCTGCACTGGACTCTACCAAGACAGAAACTGGGGAGAAAACACCAAATTATAGTTAAGCATTATGCTGGGAAGAAGGGAGGGAGGCAAACCAGCTGGTAGCTGCACTGCAGGCTGAGGGCCATGCATTTGTGGCATGAGCTCTGAAGAGCCCTCTGGAGTCTCCCCCAGCCTGCTCCTGGGCCAGCACAATATGTGGGTTAGGGTGGGGTGTGCCCAGGGTTTAGCAGTGGCTTAGACCCACCGTCACCAGGGCAGCAGCTAACTTGCAGAGCTGGCCCTCTTCGTAGGTCAGCTCTCTTTTCACCCACTCTGAGCACCTTGATTCTTGCCATGGGCAGGCTGCTGCATCTCCATTTCTCTCGCCCATTCAGATGCTCACCTTTTTCAGCCTTGCAGCCCCTGTGCCAGAACGGATGGCATCCATCAAGGCTTGCCTGGCATCTACTGGGTTGCTGAGGGTGCCCATGCTGGACCTAGAAGCCATCCTTGCTGCTGATGGGGCCTGGAAGGCATGAGGTGAAAGTGGAGGTGGAGGCAAGGCTTGTGGGGGTGAAAGGCCAAGGTCTTCTTGTTGACAACTTTGTGAACCCGGGCTGAGACAACAGCATCTCGGAAGCTCTGGAGCTCCTCGGAGGCAAGAGATGACACCTAACAATGAGATAGTTAAATGACTGTTGTAGAGTGCACACTCTCATCATCTGGTCTTATATGGGAACTATTAACCCCACAGTGGCAGTATGAGGAAGTCTGGCCTTTAGGTGATGATTAGGTCATAAGGGTAGAGCCCCCATGAATGGGGTCAGTGCCTTTATAAAAGAGACCCCAGAGAGTCCCTTGTGCATTCCACCATGAGGACATAGTGTGATGATGCCATCTATGAAAGAGTGCCCTTATAAAAGAGACCCGAGAGAGTCCCTTGTGCATTCCACCATGTGAGGACATAGTGTGATGATGCCATCTATGAAACAGGAAGTGTGCCCTCTCCAGACACCAATTATGCTGGTTCTTGGATCTTGGACTTCCAGAATGATAAACAACAAATTTCTGTTGTTCAAAAGCCACCCACTTAGCCTGAAAAACTAATACAGTGATAATGCCCTTAAAGGTTCTTTCCAAGATGAAGCACACAGCTGACTGACTTATCCTTGAATCTCAAAGAGCTCCTCCGTGATAAACCTAAGTGCTTAAGACACCTGCCCCTGTGCTCTGCCAAGTCATGGATCTCAGGGACTTGGATTTGGTAGAAATGAAGCTGAGAACTCGCTGATCTTGCAGTTTTTCTTGGGATGTAAGGATATGAACAGAGGTCAGACACACAACTTTGACACATTTTGGGGGGCAGGACACACACTGAAAACCCCATGAGTAACGTTCAACTCATGTTGTCTCTCAAACTCTATGTGTGGAAGATGCGCACAGGTGACACCAGGTAGACCCTAAACTCAGGTCCGTATTGATTCCTAAAGTTGGGTAAAAGCCAGTTCTGTATTCCCACAGCAAGGTCATGCTAGGAGGTGTGCTGCTGATGTGATGCCCTGGTGGGTCGGTTATCTAACCCTTTACCACTGCATGTTGGAAGGAATGTGGAAAGAACTCCATGTGAGGTGCAGGCAGGAGTTAACAGCTTCAGAGAGGGATGCAAAAGGTCTGGGAGTTCATGGTTTGGCTGAGTCATGGTTGCCCCAGCCTCCTGCAGAGGGGCACCCGCCCCTGTGCCAACATGACAGGCAGGTGTCCACTCTGGCCAACAGAAGCTTCCATACCATCTGTCCAGGGTGGTGGGTGGGCATTTGAGCCCTGGAAGGCCCTGTCCCTTACCTTCCTCAGGCTGTGAGCACCACTGTGCCCCCGGATGGCTGCGAGCAGTGCTGATCGCTCACTCTCTGCCTCCATGTAGGATGGTTTCTTTGGCCTTCTGTCTGAGGTGTGTTCTGGAGTCTAGAATATTAATAGTGTCAACATATTTCACTTCAAAGACAGAAAAAGGCTGTTTCTTTCAAGGCAGCTTGAAAGAAAATGAGTACACAGTAGGTAAGATTCTGTTTAAGCAGTCTGTTACAAGATACATACAGAAGGTCCCTCCCCAACTTTACCTTGGTGTGAAAGCATACTCCTATGATCATTCTGTTTTTCATTTTTAGCACAATAATAGGTAAATTATATGAGATACTCAACACATTCAATGAAAAAGGCTTTGAGTTAGATTTTCCCCAAATGTAGGCTAATATGTGTTCTGAGTATGTTTAAGGTAGGCGGGGCTAAGCCTCACTAGGCTAGGTTTATTGAATATATTTACAACTTATGATATTTTTAACTTGCCATGGATTTAGCAGGACCTAATTTCATCAGAAGTTGAGGGGCATCGATATAAGAATCAAAGGTGATATATTTGGGGTAGCATCAAATGTTGCCTCTTAATGGCAGATCAGTCCTATTATTTATGCTAGCTGTCCATGGCTGCTATGTGTGTTGAAGCTGTGCAGATTCCCGGGTCTCTGTACTTAGTGTGTGACATTGGGCTGGGCACTGAGCCTCACTCTGCCTCAGTTTCCTTATCTACAAAATGAAGGAAATCTAATTATTAGTGTTGGTTTAGCAATTAAGTAATATTTTTGATGTGCAAAATGCCTAGATAATGGAGGAGGTGTGTGGTAACATTGCTCCTACTATTGGCCAAGAATGACGGTGACAATGCTACAAATAAAGACGTATGCCACATAACAATATCTCCACAGCAGTGTACCACATATGTGATGGCAGATCTACAAGACTTTAATGGAGCTGAAAGAGTCCTGTCATCTAGTAACACTGTGGTCACCTTAATGTCCTCATGTGGCATCACTCACATTTGGGGTGATGCTGGTGTTCATGAGCTTAAACACCACCAGACACACAGAAGCATGGCATGTACCATTATGTAAGTACGTAATTCTTGACAACGATAATAGGTGGCTACATCACTGGTTTATATACTCACTATGCTTTTAGATTACTATACAGTGAATCCAATCTATATGGTTTACTGTGAATCAGTGGGCCATTTACACTGGCAATAGCCTTGGAGATCTTGTGTTTGCCATGCCTCTTGACCTGTCCCTCCCAGGCTGGTGTGAGCACGCTCCCTGATGTTAGCACAATGACTCAATCACCTAGCCATGTGGTTCTCAGAATGTGTCCCCATTGTTATGTGACACGTGACTGTACAGGAAAGCAGTAACACTGTCTGATTATTTACCCATCTCAGTGTGCTATGGATCTCAAATGTCACCAGAGGCTCATGTGGTAAAGGCTTGGTTCTCAGCATGTCAATATTGGGAGTAGAACCTTTAGGAGGTGGGGCTACTGGAAGGTCCTACATCACCGGAAGTGTGCCCTTGAAAGGGATGGTGAGATGCTGGTTTCTCTCTGTCTCTCTCTGTCTCTCTGTGTCTAGCCATGACGTGAGTAGTTGCTCTGTCATGCACCATAACATACTGCTTTGCCACAGACCCAAAAGCAATGTGCCAACTGACCATGAACTGAAACCTCCAAACTGTGAGCTCAAATAAACCCTTCTTCTTTTTAAGTGGATTATCTCAGTTATTTTGCTACAGCAACTGAAAAGTGACTAACACACACCACTCCAAGATTTGTGTATGGATGGTTCCACATGCCAGCCTTTCCTTTCCTCTGGCAAGGTGGATGGACATTTATTGACTGACATCTTTTCTACAGGGCAGTTGGAACCTGATAAGCTGAAACCATCATTTTTAGCCTCTTTAGTGATTCTTTTAAAATACTGTGGAGAAAGGAGACAGAAATTCTAGTTATAATGAAACCTCAGCATTAACTCTTGCTGTTACATGTTTCCTGTCTCTTCAATGCTATTCTCAGGGTCTGGGACAGGTGTCAAGAGTTCCCTGCACCTGTCCCCAGCAGGCTGCCACATTCACCTTGCGGAGGCTGTCCTTCCCTCCGGCTGAATGGATGGCTTCCATCAGGGTGCTGTGTAGGGAAGTGTCTTTTGGAACTGGCCTCTGAACAACAGGCTTGAATTTTTTCATTGGCCCAAATATGCTAGGTGGCAAAGAACCGTCTGTTTCATGAACAGCTGAAGAGAACACATTGGGTTTTTCCTTGGTTTCTTGGACAATGTAGTTAGTAGCGGCAGACACTTTTGGAGAACAAGGGGGCTCACTGTTGCCTGGGACCCAGGTAGAGCCATTCTCCAGTGTTTTGCCAGAACTCTGAGCATCTGGCAAGTGTGGAGGAAGAGGGTGTGCCCTGTCCAGTGGGCACATGGGGTCAGATGCTGAGCTGGTCTTTTGGTTACTTGGGCTTTGCTTTGCATTGAAACCACAGCTCTGCCCCACAGAAATACAATCCCTCTGGGAAGATCTGACTAGTGGGAAATAAGAACTTCTGTGGACAGCAGCAGGACAGTCTTGAGTGGACGACTTTCCATATGGGCTTCTGACCTCCTCTTTGGAATGGGATCCTGCTGCTGAATCTGCCCTAGGATCACTGTGATGGTGGGCAGAGGTCTGCTTCATATCATGCTTTTGTCCTTGTGCCTCTGAGTATGGGTTGAGGGCCGAGTTGTCTTTCACAGTGGGAGGCGGTCCTACCAGCTTTGGTCTTCTGTCTTTGTGACCCTTCTCAGCATTTTTATGTTGCTGCACCACATCAGTGAGGACTTTCATGGGTCCTATCCGCTTGGCAATAGCAGAGGCCACATACTGGCTGGACGTTCTTCTGTGAGGCTTGAGGAACGTGATTTCTGTGCTGTTAGCTGCTGGCACTTTCATGTGACAAGTGATTGCTGAGGGCTGCTGGCTTCTCCCCTCCTCCAGGGGTACGCTGTATTCTTGGTGGCCAGATGGCTGTTGGTCTGGGGTTATTGTAGGGGTTGCCTTGAGTCTATTTTCTTGCTGTGGCTTTGCTGGCATGGTGGTGGTGGCGGTAGTGGTGTTAGTGGAGGGGGTCCACTTGGCTGAGCTCTCTGTGGGTTGGCTCACATGCTTTTCCATTGAGTTACACCTCCAGAACTCTTTGACTTTCCCAATGGGTTGAGTTTCTGTTTCAACTACTGTTGACGAGAGGGATGTGGCCCTTCTTCCACTCATGTGGGGATTCACCAGATTCCCCAGCTCGTCGATCTTAATGGCGCCCGTGGACAGGGACACGTCCCTATCATAACACCTCATCTCTGACTTGGGAGGAATAATTTTATATGTTGTGAGGCCATACTTAAGTCCATAACTTCCTCCTGGGACTTGGCCTCGCTGAGACCATGGTGGTGGTGCAAAGGCAGGGTTTTCATCATCACTGTCCTTTTCATTGCCTGGCTGTGAAGTTACTCTCTGGGTGGCCTGTGTCTGCTCATTGTGAACAGAGCCATGTACCTTGCCTTTCCCCTTTGTATTTAGGTCATCTTTGTAAAGTTTTGAGGCAAAAGAAGTCACCTTGAGCCCCATTTTAATTGGAGTCCCATCTTCAGAAACATTGGCTAAGGGTGATTGGATTCCCTTTCTGATGTCCTGGGAAAGTGGGTAGGGATCAGGTCTTTCTTCCCTTGTCCCTCCATGTGGCTGGCTGTGCTTAGCCTGAAATGGGAGCAGGTGGGCTCTCCTGCTGGCAACACCCCCCATGTCAAAAGAACCAGCATTGTTATTTCTATTGGAAGGCAGCCCGGAATCCATAGGTTCATCAGAAACTTCTCCAATGAATGTTACTGGAATTGTATCCACATCACCATAGGGAATTATGGTCTCTTGCATGCAGTGGTGGGGCACACCATTTATAGAGTTGGTTAGAGAGCTGATGTCTGACTCATAACTCTCTTCCATTTCTGCAAAGAAGGACAAACACAAGTCACTGATTGGTACCACCTGTAGGATTCCCCAGGCCAACAACTTAGTGTGATCATGGCCATGACTTTGATTTCCCCAAGGTTACTTTTTTTTGTAAGTTTTTTATATACATGTTAAAATATTATTTTGATTTGTAATCTCCACTTTTATTATGTGACATAAGACCCATTTAAGAATCCTTCATGTTTTAGGTAGGGTGTACAGTTATAACATTTTGCCAACATCCTGTAATTACAAAACAGACTTTCTACATCTAAGCTTCTGGAAAGCCTGTTCCCAACACAGGAACATGAAGGTGAATGTGGGGTTTTGGCTTTAGTGTTTCTCAAGTCCACTGGAAGGATAAGTAGGACAACTTGTCCTATCTTTAATTTCTTAAAGAAAAAAATGACTAAGACTTGAGCTCTTCTGACTTACACTGATTCTTCAAAGCACTAAATGGTGCAGTGGGTCATGTGGTCTCAGGCTGTGTAACATTACATGGCTGGTTCAGATTCCCAGCTCTGTCAACCATACACTCTGAGGACAAGAAACTAAAAACAAAGTCAGATAAAACTACTGATCAAAGTCTGTTTTCTTCTTGTTTCATTTTAAGACATGCTCAGTACCTAATTTCTACTTTACTTTCAATGTGTGTCATGGAGCAAAGAACATTGTTCCATCTGAAAGATTTCCTATTTGCCTACTGAAATTATTTGCATCTGCTTTGGCCTTACAGTACTATTTTCTAAAAATGTATCAGTGGAATAGCAGTGCCGTGGGATGCTCTATTATAAATGGGCTTACAGTGAACAAAAAGTTGGGTATTACCTCCTTGAGACTGGAAGAGGAAAGTAAAGAGAACCAGTTTGCTTATCTTCATGTCATCCCATGCTTCCCTAGCTCATTTGGGTATTCTGGACCTTTTTTGCTTGAATTCACGTAGAATACTTAAATTCAAATACAAATACAAATTTAGTATTATTCAGAGCACATGTTAAGTAGCCATTTAGGTATTTTCTCAATACTGCTTGGACCACCAATAGAAAGTGGTTCATCAGACCCTGCCCTCACCTGAAAGACAGCCCAGCCCTCACATCCATGCTCACCTGAGAGAGAGTTCAGCCCTCACATCCATGCTCACCTGAGAGACAGCTAGGCCCTCACTTATAAGCTATCTCCATACTGAGCTGCAATTCTTCTGAAGACTTCTTCCTCATGTAGTTACACAAATGTGTGCTCAGCAAAGTAACCTTTGGTATCTATGGTCACAGAACAAAATATCAAAATAGTAGGTTACCTTCCAGGTCCTCATCAAGTTCTTCCAGGGTTTTATGGAATTGTCCAGTAATGAGTAGGTCTTCATCATGATTTGAGGGAATGGCAGCTTTCTCAGTCCTGAGAAGACCAAAGATAAAGAAAGACCACTTATTTCTCTTACTACTAATTTCAAATACTACTTTCCAGAAATATTTGAGGACAGGGCAGTTTATATTCAGATTCATGCAGTCATATACTCACTGGACCACTGTGTTGTCCTTGGAACTAGTGAGACACAGATTGTATGTTTGTGTGAGTGGTGTGTATGTATGTGCATTTGTATGTGTGTGCATATGTGCTTTGTCTGAATACATGTAGTGCATTGCCTCTTATAAGTGTGTGTTGTATATGTGATATATGGTGTTTTGGAGATGTGTGCAAGTGTGGGATGTATTGTCTAAGGCATGCATGTTGTATATGTGACACGTGAGGTGTATTTTCTGTGGCATGTGTGTTGTTAACATGATGTGTGATGTGTTTAGGGTGTTTGCATATGTTAGATGTGTTGTCTGTGGAATGTGTGTTATGTATATGATGCATGGAGGGTTTGCATATGTAAAGGTATATTGTTTTTGTTATGTATGTTGTGAATGTGACATATAGTGTGTTTAGGGTGTGTGTGCATATGGCCCCGATGCAGCTTCCATTTAGTCTGCAGCCAACTATTTAAATTTTCATGCTGTATAGGACAGATTGAATGTGCTGTTAGGACTCATTTACATATCTGTGTTGCACTGCACCTGACACCAGGCATAAGAAGCGAGGAATGCCTATTTGCACATGTACATGGTGACAGGGCTGGTCTGCCTTCCCTCTGGACCTGCAAAGCCAAGCTTGCCCCAAGTACCTGGTTTTCTCAATGTCCCTCATGGCCTTAGGGATGAATGCTGCAGGCTCTGGCCCAGGGCACTGCTGGGCAGCCTACACTGTTAGGAGGACCTTGGAGGGGAGCATTCAGGATTGCATGGGGAGGCTTTCCAGAAATGCTGCAACTTTGCAAGCTCATGCCTCCATCTATTCCATCCTAAGTAGTGACCCATCTGCCAGATTCAGAAATAGAGACAATTTACTCCCCCTCAATAAGGGACTTTCATATACTCGCTGGTATTTCCTGCACTGGGCAGATAATGGAAAGTATGGGGGCTTGGGAGTCATGATGCAACCCACAGAGGTGTGCACCCAAGGATTTTTCACTGAAAACATAATGACAATGACAAAGGTGACAGCAAACATGATTGCCACTATTATGGTAATAACAGCTCCCATTCTTGTCCCTCTTGCTCCTCCCCAAGGGCATCATGAAACTTGATAGGAGGAAGGTCACAGAAGCTCAGGCCTACTGGGCATGCCTTTGTGCCAGAGCATGCAGCCTTCACATGCCAAGCACTAAATGGTGCTCTTCTGTATGAATAATCTTATTATAATCATCACAAGTGATTTACAAGGTAGGTAGTGTCAGATAGGAAATTCTGTAGACAGACTAACAGACTTGCACAAGGTCACATAAGAATTCAACACTACGTGCACCTACTCCAAAGCCCAAGTAAGGACATGCTTGGCCAACCAGTGGCCTGCTCATGTCTGGGACAGAGAGGGACAATGCGGTACCCTGGGGCACAGGGTGTCCCAGAAGATGTCAGCCCGCCTTTTTGGAACAGCAGATCTTGCTTTATTTGCATCACAGGGGCAGTGACATCCATGAGACAACTACTGCCAAAACAATTTGAAAGCTGTCTTTGCAAGGGCCCTTGCCTCAATTTTCCTATTGTGCAGAAAACACAGAGGCATGTCTATGACAACTGTCCATCTTTAGTGAAAGCTGAGGGTTCTTTTTTTAATTGATTGTTAAAACTGAGGACCAATTCCCATTATTGCTAATCAGGCCTGATAATGATGCATGAAATATGCCTTGCACAATCCTCACTTACGTCGCAAAGTTTTCATTCTGATAAATGAGCCTTTCTTTCCTAGTGACTGTGTCCATTCAGGAGCCAGGAAGTGGCTTCAGGATCAGTCTCAGCTAATGTTCTCTGACAGGCCAGACAAAGGGGGCTGGCTGGAGATGTGTGTACATGTGGACCAATTAGTGAGGACCACAAAAGGTGCAGGGTTGTCCTTCCTATTGTTTTGGCCTTGAATGCATTCCGCTAAGGAGTTTTCTCTTTCCTGGAATGGGATGGTATAAATAAATTTAAATATTTAGTAAAATATATGGAAGAGGTAAATATGGAAATTGATTAAAAAGAGTTAGTATCTGAGATGGGAAACAGCATTTTTAAAATGCTTTATCTTAGTTTAGGATGTTTAAAGTTCAGCCAAACAAAATCATATACATACTTCTACTTCAAACAATTTACCTTTATTCAAAGTATGCATGATCACATCACTGTAGTAGACACTGAAGAGAATGATATTAGTAAGAACTAAGATACAAATTCCACTGATTTTATAAATGTTAAGCTATAAAAACAAACAAGCAAACAAAAACCCTGAGCTGATGAAGGTGCAATGAATCTGATGCACTCACACTTTTTCTTACTGGTTTTAACTGGAGAGCAATGTGGAACCAGACATCAACAAATGAACAAATGAAAATCACTTTATCTTGGTGACAACATTGGTATGTTATCCTCTATTTTGATAATTTATGTTCAGAAATCAATCCAAGAGAAGGGAAATTATAAATATAACTGTGTCCTTTCTATTGATGTGAAAAACTCTAAAATATCCAGCAGTAGGTAAAGTCACCTAAATTGCTGCATACACACACACACACACACACACACACACACACACACACACACACATGCACACACAGCCTTAATTATGGCAATAAGGAAGTCTATGTAGAAATACAAATTAAGGCTTCACCTAGCATGTTATATGAAGAAATCAAGACATACAACTGTATCTAGGATAATTACAATGATATAAAAATAGCAATTCCTGTGGACAGGGGTGAGATAGATAGCCAGACAGCAACAAATAAACCAGTGTGGCTACCTGAAAGGGAGGAATTATGATGAATATTTTTTACTTTAGAATTATGCTTGTTTCAGTGCAAAACTGCTTGAGTTAAAAGGTAATTTTTTTTATTGTTGTGCTGGGTGGGGACACGTGACATTTACAAAAGTTCTTACAATATATCAAATGTAACATACTTGAATTCACCCCCTCCATCATGCTCCTTTATCCCCTCTCCCCCCACTCCTGGAATATTTCCAACACGTTTCATTTTTCCATTTATCTACATGTGTACACAGTACTTGCACCATATTCACATAAGACAATTTCTAATGAGAAAAATTTAAAACATTATTTTCATCCTCTAGTTAACAATCATTGTTTTTGTGCAAAGGAATTTACACTTTTCTTATTCAGTGCATAGTATGCATGACCCTGTTTTCTTCTGGGAGTCCAATGATGTAGCTATTGCCTGACCACCATCAGTGAGAAAACTGAGGAAGGCCAGGCTGTCTCAAATACTACCTAAGCCCCTCCTATCCAGGCTCAGCCTCAGCTGCTTGGCCTAGCATTAGTGGGCCAAGCTCCAGGGGCCTCATGCTTCTGAACTGGTTTCTCCCCTACCCTGTAGGCCAACTGTACAGCTGAAGTCTGAGGACTCTACACTTAGTCCTGTTCCCTTGTACTTACGATCTTCTCTGCTCAGTCTCTTCCCTGTCTGGCCAATTTGGACCTCACAGGCTAGCTCTTGATGCTGTCACTCTGTCCCAGGCCCTGTTGGCACATCCACATTCTTTGATGGTCCTAGCTTTGCTCCTTGGCACTCTGAAATGGACCTTGCTTAGGACCCTGCTTTCCCAGAAAGAGAGAGTGGACACATACCAGGAGCAACCAGCCTGGGTGTACTATGGAGTGAAAGAATGACTACAGAAGCCCAGCCCCTTGGCCTATGTGTCTCATAAGGCTGCCAAGCCCTGGCCATCTCTGAGGAAGGGCAGAGTGAGCCCTACTACCACCTCTGCAGCTTGCTTTTCTCTTGATGCAACTCAGAGGCTGCTATGTTCTGGGTCCTGGGATTCTGCATGAATGAGTTATTTAGTTAAAGCCAAAGCCAGTGGCAATGTAACTATTTTGCTTTCCAACCTAAGATTATGGGAGAGATTTAGGGATTCCCATTGTCTTCTTGCCAGAGGGTTACTGGTGGATTATAACCATTCCTCCTTCTTTGTAAAACCACTAGATTCGGATCCCTAGTCTCTGGCTTAGAAGGCAGCTCCCTGCGGACTCAGCAGAAGAGCCCTAGGCTTGTGTCACTGAAGAGTCAACAGAGGGTGGGACACAACGCCTCTGTTGGTATAAAGCAACTGAGCGCAGCTGTTTCTCTCCTGGGCTTCCTTCCCCACCCACAATTACACCCTGATCTTTAGACATGTTTCTTATTGACCGTATGTTGTGGCTGAAGACAAAGAAAATAAGGCAAACAAACACAGTGTAAGCATTTTGCTATCAGGCTGCATATGTTGAATAAACATTGCCAGAGCTGGTTTCTCACACGGAGAAGTATAGAATCGTGATTCTGCAGGGAATGTGACAGTGCTCAGGTCACTGCTGTGAAGCATATGAAGGTCAGAGAGCAGGAGTGGGCACTTTCATACCAGTCTTCCTAGGAGGCTGAGCTGATTCTTGTGACCACCCACTTGAGGGTTCTGAGGGTAGGAGCACAGGGTGAGCCTTCCACTCAGCCGAGGGCACATAGGTACTGCCTGGCCTCAGGACTTGCTTACCCAGCTCCACACAAAAAATGAGAACAGGGACCCCATCTGTCCTGTCCAGTTAGCACCAGAAGATATAGGGACGGTATGAGTTTTTGTTTTCACTTGCTATGAGAAAGAAAGGGAGAACATTCTGATAATGACCCATCTGAAATTCATAAGATCTGTATCAATCACATCAAGTCATGACTGTTTTTGACGTGGTTAAAAGAGTTTCTTTAAGAAATATAGACAGAATTAATGAAAAAGAAAATCTAAGAGGAAAACTATGATGCATTCAGGGAGCAATTCAATTTGCTGGTGACATCCAAATCAACCCTGTGATTTCAAAATGATTACTGG